TGAATTGGAACATCTTTTAGAGATCCAAGAAATGTATTGGAAACAGAGGGATAAGGTGGATTGACTGCAGAATGGCGACAGACAGACCAAGTTTTTCCATCTGATAGCAACCAACAAGAAGAGAAGTAATTATATAGGGTGGTTGAAAGACAACCATGGAAACTGGACGTCGGATGATAAGGAAATTAACGATTTGATCAATTCCTATTTTGTCAATCTCTTTACCTCTGATATTCCAGATTTCAGTAATTTTGATGCCCATCTTATTCCTTCTCAAATCACAAAGTCGATGAATTAAACTCTCTGCATTCTGCAACATCCCATCTCATGAAGAAGTCAAAATAGCTTTATTCTCAATCGGTCCTCTCAAAGCCCTAGGACCGGATGGAGTTCATGCTCTCTTTTTCCAATCCTGTTGGGACATTGTGGGTAATGATCTTGTCCAATTTGTTCAAGAAGTCTTCAGAACACCAGAGTTGATTGCTGAAGTTAATGAGACTACCCTAGTTCTCATCCCAAAAAAAGAGAATGTGGAGTTTGAATCTGACCTCCGTCCTATTGGTTTGACTAACGTCCCTTACAAGGTAATTGCTAAGATCATTGCTTCACGTTTGAAACATATTATGGATTCTCTCATTATACCTTATCAGAATGCATTTTCCCCTGGGAGACAAATTCATGATAATAGAATTTTGGCTTCAGAAATCATCCATTCTATGTAAAAAAAAGATAGGGTTGGTAGCTTCTTGTTGAAAGTGGACTTAGCCAAAGCATATGATAGAGTTGAGTGGAGCTTTCTCTTATGGAGCATTCTACAATGGGGATTCTCTCCAAACTTCATCTCTCTTATCCGTGCTTGTATTACCTCTGCTTCTTACTCTATCTTGATAAATGGTAAAATGGGAAACCCATCCAGACCAGAAAGAGGTTTAAGACAGGGGTGTCCTTTATCTCCATATCTTTTCATCTTATATATGGATATTCTCTCTTGAATGCTTCTACACAAATTGAATGGTGGTTTGCTACAAGGTTTCAAGATTGCAAGGAATTGTCCAAAATTAAATAATCTTTTCTTTGCAGATGATATCCTTATTGTTGGTAAATGTTCCATCTCTGAAATTTCGACTATAAGAGATATTCTTTTCAGATTTGGGGGTGCTTCAGGTCAAAGAATTAATTTTGAAAAGTCAGCTATTTATTTTAGTAAAAATGTCCACAGACGGAGGAGGAATGATATCTTCAAATTTCTTGGGGTTTCCACTATGAAAACTCATGACACCTATCTTGGTGCCCTGCTGTTGAAACATGAAGGCCAAAAGAGCACTCGGAACTTTGTCATTGAAAATTGTAAGCAAAAGCTAAGTAAGTGGAAGACTGATTGTCTATCACATGCAGGAAGAGAGGTGCTTATTAAATCAACAATTACTTCTATTCCATCTTACTTCATGGCTTCAAATCCCCTCCCTCATTCAATCTGTTCCCAAATCAATTCAGTTGCACGGGATTTTTTGGTGGGATTTCAAAAGCAGTCAGGCTCATATCTATCTCCAAGGGTGGAAAAAATTCACAAAACCAAACGGATGGGACACAAACATCTTCAATGATCCGTGGGTCCCAAACTTCATCCTTAACAAAGATAATTCTCAGTCCAATGGTAAAGTTGCAGATCTGATTGACTTAGACTCAGGTAAGTGGAGATCGGATTTGATTTGCTCGAAATTCGATCCTGTTATTGCTCAAAGCATTCTTAATATTGAGATTCCGGCTAATCCTCTTGCCCACCAGGATACGATTATCTAGGCTTTCACCCCCAATGGTTGTTTCTCCAGGTTCTTCCGCATATAGATTACTGAATGGGGAGTATGCTGATTCTTCTTATAATTTGAGTGCAGCCCCAAACATTTCTTGGAAAGAATTCTGGGCTTTCAATGAACTTTCGCCACGTATTCACATCTTTGTTTGGAGAGTTCTTCGCCCAAATTCTTCCTCTGAAAGGAGTTCTCTCCAAGTATGCAAAGAAGATTGACAATCTATGCCCCTTTTTGTTCTAAAGTGGAGGAAGATTTGGATCACCTATTTATTCACTGTCATTTCCTTCGCCTAGTCTGGTTTGGATCATGCTTATCACTTGGAGTTGAGGAGTGGCCACATAAAGGAGTTAAGGATTGGATTTCCTTTTGGTGGGATAAAATCAATGTAACTCCAGATAATGATCTCAGTGCGTTTAGTAAATTTTCTATTATCCTTTGACACTATTGGAAGGTAAGATGTAAAGTAGCGTTGGAGAATTCTCATTTTAGGCCTTCTTCGATAATTGCTGCGACCAACACCCAAATTGAAGAATTGACCAATGTGAAATTGAGCCAAGTTTTAAATCAATTGTCGAATTCAGTCATGATCTCCCCAAAAATTTCTTGGTGCCCCCCTACCCAAACCTTTCATTAAAATCAATGTGGATGGAGCTCATAACCACTCTCACTCTGGTTTGGGGATTATTCTGAGGGACCATAAAGGTAAGTTCTTATTTGGTAGAGTGGTTAACTTTCCTTTATCTGATCCGGATATCTCAGAGGTTCACGCTTTCTGAGAATGTATTCAAATGGCCAAAGATTTACAAATCAAGGTTCAAAGTATTGTTACGTATCGGCCGATACGTATCGTTTCAGGACCCTTCTGATACGCCCCTACAGTGGGTGTATCGGGGGTCTGACCGGTTCAGGGGATGGAGGGGTTCTAGACTGGTTCCCCTGAACAAAAAACAAGTATCGAAACGCTCGATACACCCCTACCGGCATATCGGGCGTATCGATATTGCAGAGACCATTTGAAAGACTTTCAGTCTACTGTTATCTCATTTAGGCCTCGTACAGGCAAATTAATTTGTCCTAGGCTCAACTTAGTTGCAGGCCTAGGTTCATGCTCTAACTTAGTTGAAAAAAATTAATTTGTCCTAGGCTCAAGCTAGAATGAAGAAGATTGCGGACTTTGGCCACACTGAATGCGAGTTCTTAGTTGGAGGCTTTGCTTATTTGCGCCTCCAACCTTACCGACAGAGTTTGGTGATAGCCCATCGGTCATAGAAGTTGGTTGCTCATTATTATGGACCATTCAAGGTACTAGAACATGCAAGTAAGGTTGCTTGTAGATTGAAGTTACGGAATGAGTGTAGGCTCTCCATCCTGTTTTACATGTATCTGTACTAATTAAAAAAAAATTGGGAGCCATTCTTCCTCACCTGATAGCCATCCTGGATTGAAGAGTTTTGAAAAGAGGGAAATAGCCAGATTGTAAGATGCTTATTCAGTGGGTAGGAATGTCTGAGGCAGACGCTACTTGGGAGCAGTGGATTGAACTTCGACGGTGGTTTCTATGGAGTAGGAAAACTGATATCAATTGTCATATCATCTTTCAAGAAGAGTGGTCCAACCTCCTTATTATTGCCCAGGGTGATGATGTGTTCAAGGGCATTGAGCACTAAATAATTTGTTGTGCCTTTTGCACTTTTTTTTTGGGTTCGACTATAATATGAAAAAGATATGATATCAAAAAAAATAATTGGCTAATAAACTAGAATCATAAACGTGATAATGATTCATGTGTTATTTATCAAAATTCATAGGTGAATTAGTCAAAACTCTTTCCATACCATATATTTTCGATATCATAGAGTTTTTCTTTTTTTATCTGTTATATATCAGTACCCAATCATTGGCATCACTTCAATGAGAATATTGGATGTAACGGTCTCAGAACTGAAAAAAAGTATTAATCATTGAAACTTCAGATTATGTGTGAGTTACATCAAATTTATATAAACAATGGGAAAAGTGCATATTTAGCATGGAAGAAATCCTAATTGATTACTAATTAAGAGCTGGTGGATAAAAGTTGGGTTGGTTTTGGACCTGAGTTCTAGTTTTTTTTTTTTTTTTGGTTTCAAGAATTCTAGTGTTTTTTTTTTTTATTTAATAATGAGATTGCCTATACTTTATGACATGGAAGATGACTAATGCAAAAACAATTGTACACAATGGTCCATGAATACTTGGCTGAATGTTTCAATGCATTGGTTTTTGGGGTATTTACCACCCCCAAAAATCTTAACTCCACTGTACAGTTAGAGTAGGTGTCAGCTCGGAATTAATGTCAATTCATGAGCAGATATGGGTGTTATAGGTGAAGGTGTTTATAATTTTGAATTATTGTAGGTTTACGTTGAATTCAAAATTCTAAAGTTAAATGCAGTCAACTTACCCTTGATTCTTTAGAGCTGACTTATTGACGAAGTTTAGTCAAAACAATTTTTTTTCCTTACTTTTTAGAAAGGCAGGGGGGCAGGGGGGCAGGGGCCAACCGGCCAATGCCATCTCAGAAGTCATTTTCGTGAAAACAGATTCAACAAATAGCCCTACAAAATAGATTTGTTGTCATTCTCGACTTGGTCTTGTCAACGATTCATCACAAAAGACATTATAAACAAAAACTATAACAATTCAAAATGTCAAATACCTCCACTTTAAACACCAATACCCGCACTATTGGCATCAATTCTAAAAAACTGGCAACTACCTGAACTGTAGGGCTAAGAATATACATACCGTGAGACCCAAATTTGAATTTAACGGACCAGGATGCCACGTGGCAAGAATATAACAATTATGCAAGCCCAAGTCAGAGAACGAGCGCCCAGACGTGAGACGTTCGGAGTTGGAATGGTGGATTGGACGCAGTCCACTCGTGCGGCGTCCGAGTGTAATTAAACATTGTCTCACAGATTCTTGCAACTTTCCTCCCCGAGTCCTTCCCCCACGGGAAGGTCGTTGTTCTCTGCACCTCTCTCTACAAACTTTCTCTTTCAAAGCGCTCACTCTCCTTCTCTTTCTTTTTCTCTATCTCTCTCTCTCATTCTCATGGTCTCTGTCTAACAAGGAAAGAGAAAGCCGGAAAGGAAAGACTTAAAAGAAGGAAGGAAGACAGAAGTAAAAGGGCCGGGGGGGGGGGGAGGCGGGGAAAGAGAGCGAGTGAGCGAACTAGGTCAGCAAGGCTTAACACCCTGTCCAATCCCAAAATTTCTCGGCCACTCGCAACTTTAGGCCTTCTGGGATCCGAAAAATCCTCACTTTGGTCCTCTCCCTTGTCTGTGACAACCCACATTTCAAATCAAGAAAATAAAGGAAATAATATATTTTTTATATTTTTTTATGAAAATTCTTCATTGTTTCTGTTATTTCCCCTCTCTTTCTTCGATTTATACAAAAAAATAGAAACATTCTGTTTTAATGCTTTTAACAAGTTGAGAAACAAAAAGATTCACCTTCCCGGAACGCCGTTGAAGTCCTCCCTCGGCCAGATTTCCTGCCTCAAGTTTGGATTTCGATTCGATTCTTGTGTTTAATGTTGGATTTCTGGTCTGGGGTTGGACTCTCTTCGGGTTCCTGATCTTTTCTTTATTATTTTTCCCTTCTTTGCAGTTGTAGGAATTTAGAGTCTCAGCAGTGCTTATGATTTGGGTTGGTTTTAATAAAATTCGTCTGATTGGGGGATCTGGGCTTTTGATGATTTCACATTTAGGACATGACATTCTAAGACTTTTGAAATTTGGATCTTCTCCACGTCTCTCTCTCTCTCTCTAGGATTGTATTATCCATTGCGCATCAAAGTTGATTGCATTAGTCGAATTATATCCAATGCTTCAGGTTCAGAATTGTGAGGAGATATAACAGTAGTATTGGTGGTTGAAGAGGGTCTAGGGGTTTTGTTTTTTCATGTTGGAAATTTTAGATTAATGAACAATGCTCTGGTTAAGTTAAAGGATGTTTGGAGCTGCTGGGTTTTGATTTTCTAGGAGTAACTGGAGTATTCAAATTTTAAAGAACAATGTTGAATGGCTGGTGAGTACTGAAGGTTTATGAATCTGTACATTACGAAGGGAAATGTTCACTTGATTGGGGATTGCAAGGGTTGGGGAATTCGAGTGTTCTGGTAGAATGCTGGCGGACCACTGTCCTTAATGAACCAATGGTTGTTGCAATCAATAGAAACAGATTGGGCAGATAATTGCAAGATTTCAGCATTTACCTGTGAGTTGGGATTATGGGCTGTATTTGCTCAAAAGGGACCTCTGCAAATGAGTGTGTCGAGAGCCAGAGGGAGAAAGAATCTTCAAAACGGTTGGTTGCTCCATCAAAAAGAGAGGACATTGCAGTGGAGGTTGATGCTGGGGCTAATGGACCTTCGGATGGAACAGTATTGATATCAAAATTGGCACAGCAAGTGAATACGGTTTCCAACCCAATTTTATCTGTTGAAGTAGAGAGAAAGTCAGTAGTTGAGAGGCCTGCAAAAGCTCAACATCAAAGATTGGAAACTGCGGATATTGATGAAAATGGAGGACAACCACCAATTTCAAGGATTGTTAGTATGCCTAATGGTGTTGAGGGGGAACAGATTGCTGCAGGGTGGCCTTCTTGGCTAACATCAGTTGCATCTAAAGCAATCAAAGGGTGGGTGCCGCGCAGGGCAGACTCATTCGAGAAGTTAGACAAAGTCAGTTTTCTTAATCCTTGCACTAGTTTTCCTCTTTTTTTTTTTCTGTTTGTATTGCGATTTCACATCATTTTAGTGTTCTTGTCATTGCTAATCTGCAACTTTTATTTGTTCATATTTGTATAAGAATATATAATTTTTCTCTTTTCTTTTGGCTAACTTGTAGCAGAAAGTGATAGTTTACTAGGTAGTAATCTCTGGAAATTGTTAACATGTTACCCACCTAATTGTCTTAATTATATGGATTTTTTTATGTAGAAAACATAGATCCTAGGGTAGTTCCCTAGGTACCATAACTATATTTCCCTAATAATTATTCATAATAAAAGTATAGAGTTCATGTTAAAGTATATGAAATCAACATATTAATGAGAAGAAAAAGAAGAAGGAAAAGAAAACTCAAAAAATATAGGAGCTGAACCCTTATTTTTGTTATAGGAAAAGAAGAAAACAAAAAGTAATATAGGAGCTGAACCCTTATGAAGATGATGTGTTGATTAGACAAAATTTTAAGTTCTTCCTTACTTATTGGTTCAGATTTTAAAGTCTTTGAGGGTTCAATACAGCGTTTAGCAATGTTTGTATTGATTAAACCCTAAAAAACAAGAAATTAATAAAAAGAAATTAATACATAAATACACAAAATGAATATTTTAGTTTAATAGTGCCTATTTTATAATTATAATGTCAAAAAATAAAGAATAAAAAAGTATTTTATAATACGTAGTACAAAACTACTTGGTGATTAGGCGTGGCGAGCCTCAAAGGGCACCTTGTCGCCTAGGCGTCACCTTGACAACTATGCTATAAAGAGCAAAAGTACATCAGCCTATGTACAATAAGAACCTGTACATTGGGAACAAACAAAACAAAGAAAAGTCATCCATAGAAAGGTCCAGCTTGCAAAAAAGAAATGATCTGGACACCCTGAAATATTCTTTGTACACCCAGCCATGAACAAAGCACAACTACAAGAATATTTCTGACTTCCTCTAGGGCCTAATATTTGTTGTCAAAAGTACAATTATTCCTTTCCTTTCCTTACATAGTGACCATAGAAGTTTTCCCCTTCTGTTCAAACCTTTGATAGACCATCCCTTTAGCAGCTAAAGTAACGATTCCAGCAAGCAGTAATGAACCCCAAAACAGGATAAAGCCATACTCCATAGCTGCTGAGAGAAGCTACAATGCATGGAAAGCTGGTTTGAGAATTCTGGGGCTTTATTGCACAAGGAGAAAAGAGAATTAGGAAGGGGCATTCCTCTTTGAAGCAGCTCGTTTATAGTTAAGCATCTATTGATGGCTGCAGTCCAAACCAAGAGATGGGATGTGAGGGCACCAGATTTGAACTTGGATTCAGTCCTCACAGGACCATGCTCACACTGTCCTCACAGCCACTTGCAGCTGTGCATTGGGAATATCTCCCCATGAACAAAAACATACAAGTATGGAGATATTCCCAATACATGGTTGCAATTGGCTGTGAATATGGTGTGAGCACGGTTTTGTGAGGACTGAATCCTATCTCACCAGATTCTAGCCCAGGGGAAAGCAATGCCCTGCCAGTGGGTGAGAGAGCCATAGAAGGATTGAACTGAGAATTGGCTTGATTTCTCCCAGCACCAAACCCTTTCATCTTCCAGCTGGGAATTAGGCTTTATGCCTTGGATAAGGTTTAACAGATCTGCCAACAGGCCAATTTCTAGTCATTGAGGTCCCTTCTAAAGGTAGGGACCCAAAGTATTCTGTCATTCACCAGATCAAAGCACTCCTGCACCACAGCTTCCTTGTTTTGGGCTATATCAAAGAATGAGGGAAACCTTTCTTTCAATGTAAAGTCCCCACACAATTTATTGTACCAGAATCTGATTTGTTTGCCTTTGCCTACCCTGTATCTGATTATGTTTAAGAAATCCTGAAGGGATTTTAGGATATCACACCAGACTGCACCCCCTAGGAGGGAAACTAGGCCCCGAGTACCATCAAAAGCTTGAAAGACTATATTTTCTTGCTATAATCCTTCTCCAAAGGTTTTCTCTATCTTTGCTGAATCTCCAGCACCATTTACTGAGGAGGGATGTGTTGATTTTCTTGATATTCCAGATGCCAAGGCCACCATATTCCTTGTTTGGAATACAATATTCGACTTCACCAAATGGAATTTAAACCTTTTCCTCTAGCCAGCCCAAAGAAAGGGTTTTCATTTTCTTCTCTAGTTGTTTTGCAATGCTAGCAGGGACTTAAACAAGGACAAGAAATATATGGGAAGAGAGCTCAGAACAATTTTTATTAATGTGAGCTTACCACCCTTTGATAGGTATTTAGAGTTGTTTTGCAACACTAGCATGGACTTAAACAAGGACAAGAAATATATGGGAAGAGAGCTCAGAACACTTTTTATCAATGTGAACTTACCACCCTTTTTATCAATGTGATCTCAGAACACTTTTTTGTCTGTGAATGCTCTCTCCAAGTCATCTGCATCCTCACCAGAGATACTGTTTATATCCAAACCATCCAGCCGCGATCTCTTTTTCCACCTTTTCTTTACAGTTTTTAGAAAACTGGACCAGACTGGCTGGTCGGACCGGTTGAACTGTGACCCAGGACCCTGACCGGTTCGATCACACCTAATAACCATATTTTCTAAAATCCGGTGAAAACCAGCTAACCAGATGGTTTGATTGGAAAACCAATGAACCGGTCCCGGTTTCATGAAACTGCCCTGGTCCATAAATAATTGAAATTTTAAAACATGGTTAATGAGATTCGAACCTGTGACCTCTAATTTACATATATTACTTAATTACCACTAGTCCACCTCTTTTCTTGTGTTGATTTGACTCTTTATTGTACATATTACTTAAGTATGCACATATTTGAAAGAAAACATAAATTAAGAGACTTGAACCCTAATCATTTGCTTTAAAAAATAAGGAACTTGACATTTATCTACCATATTTAAGTATATTAAAAGTTCCAACCAAGTGGTCACGGCAAGCATGAGGAAATTCAATGAATTTATTGATGGGTGAGAGTTAGAATTTCCTCTCCAATAGACTATTTTCACTTGGTCTAACTTTGGGTCATGGACACACTTGTTTTTCACTCTGAATGGTAGAACATTGGATAAGGTTGTCTTCTAGAGCCTTGCCAAGAGTCACTTTGGGTCATGGACCTAAGAAAGTGGCCCTAGACCATTTAGATTTGAAAATATGTGGTGAACACACCTGGATTTTTTTAATAAGGTGAAAGAGTGGTGGAATGAAGAGTTGGAGGGAGTTCAATGGGAAAGGAGTAGCTCTTCATAGGAAATTACAAAGCTTGAAGAGAAAAATCAAGGAGTGGAATTGAGTGCATTTTGCGATAGTGGAGGAGAGGAAATTAAATGTGATATCCCAAATTGAACTTTCGGATGAGAGAAGGTCAGGGTGTGTTAACAGAGGAAGATGGGAGTCTAAGATGGTCATTGAAGGATTTGGAAGAAGTCTTACTCAGAAGAGACTTATTGGAGGCAAAAATCAAGACATCAATGATGAAAGAAGGGGATGAAAATACTAAATTTCCATGCACTTGCCAATGAGAGAAGACGGAAGAACTTTGTGGAGAAACTGGAAGTCAATGGAGAAATGGTGATTGATCAGGAAGGGATTGCCAATTGTATTATAAATCATTTTAAAACAGTTTATAAAAGACAGGAGGACACTATATTTAGTTAGGAAGGCTTAGACTGGTCAAGATTGGAACTTGAAATGGCATGGTGGTTGAAAAGGGATTCTGAACAAGAAGAAATAAGGGGAGCGGTGTTCTCAATGGTAAAGCACCTAGACTGGATGGTTTCACTATGGTCTTTTATCAAGATTGCTGGGAAATTATCAAGTCAGATTTATGGGCAGTCTTTGAGGAATTTGCTGAGGAAAATTTTATAAGTCCAGGGATTAACTCTGTAGAGAAGATGGGCTGAATGGCCCATAGGCTGTTACTCTATGTTATCTTTATGCTCTTCTCTGTAATGGGCCTTATTCTGGGCCCATACTCTTCTATGTTCTTTTTTGTAATTTCTTGTCCAACCAAGGACCTCTCTTGTAATTACTCAAAGATTAACTTAATAAAAGTGTATTAGAGTGTTAGAGGGAGGTTTAGTTCGAACCTCTCTTTCTCTAACCCTCCTTGCCGCAACTCTCTCTCTCTCTCTCATTCTCTAATCTTCTCTTGTTTGTTTTTTTGGTTTTCTTGCATAGTCCCATACTTCTAGGGCTGTTTTTCAACTTGGTATCAGAGCAGGCCTGAGCTTGGCGTGGCTCTCATGTGGTTATAGTCGAGCCGACTACATGAGGGTGTTCTAGGACTGGAAGTTTAGACTCATTCGCCTGATTCTTGGAGGTCATTGGAGGGTGCCTAAGACTCTATTCACTTGGAGAATAGTTCGGTGACCAGGAAGAATCAGAGAGAAGGATTGTTCGGCCTGATTTGAAGTTCAAATCAGAGATTCATACAACTGTAAGTTGCTTCAGTTATTGCTGAGTTACTGTTGGGTTATTTTTCTGATTTGGGGAGCTGTTAAAGTACTCGAAACCCCTCTATATTTGCTCTACTGTTCGGCTGATGTTGGACTGATTTGACTCAGAGATTTCTGGGTTATTTTTCTTATCTTGTTGGACTACCAAGTGGCCGAAACTTGTTTAGACTCAATGGTACGAGTCTCTACTTCAGTTCAGCTACTTCTTGGACCTATACGGAGTGCTCTTGAAGTGATTCCTAGTAGTTAACAGTGGGGTGTTGACTGCTGCATACATAGTGTTTGTAAAAAGGCCTCTTAAGTACTGTGGACTGTATTTTTGCTCTCTTTGGGAAATTATTGTTGGGAACGAAGAATACATAGTGTTTGGAGGTCTGCTGGTTGTTTCTTGGAGGCTGAATCAGGCCTTCTTCTTGAAAGAGCTGCCACCAAACTTGGTTCTCACGGCTGTTAGGACTGAACTGAGTTTGTGAGTTGCTGT